CAGCAGTACCTCTGAGTCCCCCACACGCAGCCTGGTATGGTGGGCACCAAAAGGGAGCCTCGAGGGAGGGGAGCTGAGCATGATGGCGCAGGGGCAGGGCTGAGCCCCCGCTGTTTGCCCCCAGAGTGAGCGGGATGAGCTGACCGAGGATGGGGAAGGCAGCATCCGCAGCTCGGAGGAGGGGCCTGGTGACAGTGGTGAGTGAGGTGGGGACCAGAGGCAGGAACGGGGTACACTAGGTGGGGGTGCTGCCTGTGGCCTCACACTCAGGCCCACCTGCCATCTCCAGTGTTTGCAGCCCCAGCTGAGAGTGAAGGGTCAGGACCAGAGGAGAAGAGCCCAGGACAGGTGAGAGCCCGGCGGGCCGGGGTGGGGAGGGGGCGTTGCAACTCAGGGGCAGGTGAGGCCCCGGGGAGTGGGAGATCCTCTGCTTCCTCACTTATTCTCAGAACCCAGGAGTGGGCAGTGCTAGAGGGAGAGGGCCCAGAGGCAGATCCTGGGTGCAGTAAGCAGAGGATACCACCCTCTGTGCCTGGCCCAGCCCCCCAGGAGTGGGCGAGCATGGCAGATAGGACCCAGGACCCACAGGGTTTGCTGAGGGCAAGCAGCCGGTGGAGGGAGTGAGGGTGTTGCCCTCCCGTCGCTGAACCAGAGCTTTGCCCACAGCCCCCCAAGCCCCTGCCGCGGAAGGACGTGGGGCCCATGTACTCCTATGTCGCGCTCTACAAGTTTCTGCCCCAGGAGAGCAATGACCTGGCTCTGCAGTAAGTCCCCTCTGTGGGAGCACAGGTGTGAGGGGGACCTTCAGGAACCTCCTCGCATGCGGAGGCTGTGGGTCAACAGCTGCCCGATCTATGATGCGTGCTAGTGTCACGTCTCCTGCCCCTGCCTGGGCTGTCCAGAGAGTGCCTGCTGTCCTATGGTCACTGCTGTCCCCCCAGGACACTAAGATTCCTTCCTGGCTGAGAGACATGTAGGGTATCCTGGTGCCAGGGGAGGACGGGCAGGGGGCAGGTCCTTCCCCGTCCCACCTGCTACTGCAGCTCTCTCCTCCCAGGCCTGGAGATCGGATCATGCTGGTGGATGACTCTAACGAAGACTGGTGGAAGGTGACTTGGCAGGATGGGGGGCGGAGAGACCCTCGTCACCTCAGCAGCACCCACCCTCGATAGGCACTGCCCCCACCTGTCCAGGTCTCCTTCTCCACCCTCCAGTCCTGGCCATGCTAAGGCCGACCCTTGGGCCTCCTCACCATCGCGACCCTCCCTGCTTCAGCTCTGTCCCTCTGCCTACCTCATGCCCTCCCCGACCCTGAAGCTACCCGGTGGGGGGCTGGAACCCAGAGCCCAGGGTCTGGAGGACGGTAGCCTAGGCTCTGAGCGGGACTTAGAGAAAGCCGTGGGGGTGCTGGTGCTCACTGACAACCTCATCCCCAGGGCAAGATCGGAGACCGGGTTGGCTTCTTCCCAGCCAATTTTGTGCAGCGTGTGAGGCCAGGCGAGAACGTTTGGCGCTGCTGCCAGCCCTTCTCCGGGAACAAGGAACAGGGTTACATGAGCCTCAAGGAGAACCAGGCAAGTCCTCCCCACCCACCACCCCTCCTCTGTGAAATGGGGGCGGGGAGGCTGCCTCCCAAAGTTTGGTTAGCCCCACAGCGCTCTGCGGTGACTGCTGGAGTCCTGGTCTCGCTGCTAAGCCCTGACCTCTCCTGGGATCTGCTCCCGTCGCCCCAGTGAAGGGCTCCCTCCACATCTGACACCGGTCCCATCATCCCCAGGGGTGGCTCTCTGGGGGACATTGCAGGACATGGGGCCAGAGCTGCAGGCAGTGCCAGGCCTCAGCTCCATGTCTCTGGCTCAGATCTGTGTGGGCGTGGGCAGAAGCAAGGATGCTGACGGCTTCATCCGCGTCAGCAGCGGCAAGAAGCGGGGCCTGGTGCCAGCCGACGCCCTGACCGAGATCTGAGAGGAGCAGGAGGACCCGGATGCCACCCCTGCCCATGCCCGGCTCTGGCTTCTGGCCAGAGGGGAACAGGCGTCCTTGTCCACACCCTTCCTCCCTCTGCCTCTCTCCCAGGTGCCTCTCGCTTTGGCTGAGAAGCCTTCTGAAGCCTTCTGCAGAGGAAGGTCTCGTTTCCTGGGTGGGGTGCCCTGAGTGGGCTGATCCTCTGGGACTTGGAGGAGGGAGGAGAAAGCAGGAGGGAAGGAGGAAGCTGCAGACAGGTCCACCCAGGACCCACGTACCCCCAGCCCTGGGGAGAGCTCCTGGGAGACTTCCCTGCTGCTTCTCCCAGAGCCTGCCCCTGCCCACAGCACCTTTGCATGCCTGACACACCCCTCTCCCCACAGAGCCTCCGCTTGGGTCTATGTGTGCGTGACCGTGCGTCTGCCCCATTACAAGTGGGGCCTTGGGAGGGGGCGTCTGTGTGTCCTTCAGCCTCCCGCCCTGGGCTGGGAGGGATCCCGGGCCACAGGAGGGTGCTGAGTCCACTTCCTGGTCTCTCTGCCTGCCCTCCGCCAACTCTCAGGAAAGTTCTGCAGGAATCTCTCCCTTACTTGAAACCTGGGCCCACAGAGGAGGGAGGCTGAGGTCCCCAGAGGGAGGGGCAAGTCAGAGACTGTCCTCAGGTGGAACAGTCACCACAGAGCAGCCTCACTCCCCTTGTCCACTGGGAAAGCGTACTCCAGGGCAGCCTGAGAACAAAGCCCAGTCCAGACATCCCATTTCACTGTCAGGACCCAGAGGTCCCTAGTCGTGCAGGGACGACCACCCAGGGGAGCCTGGGTGGGTTTGTCAGGCCTGCCCCAGGCCCGGCAGGCCCCTCCAGGAGCCTGCCCTCAGGGCTGCCCTTCCTCAGCCCCTCTCTTCGGGCTCTGCAGGGGACAGCTGCATTGCCAGAGTCCCTTTTCTGGCTGGATCTCCTCCCTTGCCCTGGACACAGAGCCCTGGGAAGAAGAGGGGGTGGGAGGCAGACAGGAAGGCGGAATGTTTGGCCACGTGGAAAGGAGGGGTAGGCACTCCCGGAGCTGGGGTGGGCACGCACAGACGACTCCTCCCTCGCAGGCTGCTTTTCTCTGGTGCCAGCACCCCCCCGAGCTCGGAGCCTCCTCTCGTGCCCTTGATCGTGCCAGCCAATGCCACCCTCATCCTGGGCACTCTCACACCCTCACGTAGCAGGAGGGACACAGATCCTCCTGCAAGAGGCCCCTGCCCCACTTCTCCCCCGCACAGGGGGGCTCAAGCCACACTGCCCTGTTTGCTGCCATGAGGCCCCCCCAGCAATACCCCAGGGGCGGGCCCAATGCCCACTGTACATGAGGCTGCATGACGGGTCCGCTGGGGCACTGTCCCGCTCCCAGACCCGTATTAAATGTTTTTGATCCCAGCCTGTCTGCTCTGTGTATCTGGTGGGGACGAGGAAGGAAAGGGGGGCCGTGGGAGCTGGGGTGCTGTTGGGGCCCAGCGTAACATGGCAGGGGCGCGTGCTGCCTTACACCTTCACCAAAGCGGCCTGAAAAGGGTGGGATCCAGAAAGGAGAAAGGACTTGGGGGAAGCCTGAGGAGGTCTGGGGCGCTGGATGGAGGGGCTGCAGTCACTTTCTGGCTCTGTGTGCACCTGAGTCCCGGAGGGTGTGGGGACACACCTCCACATCTGAGTCAGGACGTCCTTGCCCAGAGCCATTTCTGGGGCTCAATACCCACCAGAGATCAGTCGCGTCTCGCAGTCCCCAAGCCCCAGAATGCTGGCAGCGGACACAGTCACGGGCAGTGGGGCCCTGAGATGACTCAATCATGCCCGTCATCGGAGCCTGGCACAAGGGGCGGCAGCGGCGCACCCCTCCCGCAGCCGGCCCGCCGCCCACCCGTTCTGGCAGAGCGGCCTCCTTCCCCTCTGCCTGCCCACCCGCGTCATCGCCACGCGAGCACGTCCTGTGCTATTTATAAGCAGAGGGGAGCAGGGAGGGAGAGGCGGCTGCGGGGGTGCAGGGGCATTGCCAGCGCTGCCTGAATGCAGAGGGGATGGGGGGCTGCCCCTCCTCCACCTGGTTCCGGTTTACAATCGGCCCATCCCCCACCCCTGAGCAAGGGAGGCCAGGGGGGACCAGACCTTAAGTGCCCTGGAGCTTCTTTCAGGTCCTTTCTCCCAGGGAAGACCCTAGAGGTTTTGGGGGTGGGGGGCAGAGAGATGCAAGAGGGGGCTCTCCCCCTTCCTGCTGGGATCCCTTATGGTGGGAGTGGAGGAAGAGGTCGCATGTCCAGTCTGAAGGCTTAAAGAGTGGGGAACTCGTAAGTGGGCACCTGCTGTGCCCGGGGAACCGTGCCAGGAACTGAACGTTATTTAATCCTCTCAATGACTCAGTGCATGTGCTGCTGTCCCCTTTTCACAGGTGAGAAACTGAGGCAGAGATATTAGGCAGCTGTCCAAGGTCATACAGGGCTCCAGGGAGCAAGACCTGTCACAGGAGACGAGAGCCTTGCAGCCGAGCTCCCCCACGCCCCTCCGCCTGACACCAGCCAGCAGCTGGCCGGGACCCCCGCCTCCCCGGCGTTTGCCGCACTGCTGAGCACAGCAGCTTTTTCGGGTGGCTGAACCACCGACCGCCTGCTCACAGCCTAGGGGCTGGGAACAGCTGGTGCCCCCGCTGTGCCTCTGCCCTCTGTGCCCAGTCTGTGGCTGCCTGGACTAGCAACACCGTTGGCCAGAGGCAGAGGCTGCCCAGGAGCCAGCTGGTGGTGTGTCCCAGCATTTGGCTGTACCGTCTCTGACCTGCGCGTGCCCTTTCCTCCCCCACCTCGGCCTGCCTTAAGCTGGCATGTGGTGCGTGGGGTAAGTAAAGGTTACCTGGGCAGAGGGGAGACGCAGAGAGGGGGGAGAGTCTGGGAGCCTGACACGGGGCCTGAAAGGGCAAAGGTGAATGAATACCAGAGGTGCGGGGCACAACAGAGTGAGCCCCTTCAGGTAAAGCCACTCCCTTTAGCTCCCCTGCCTTCTTCATCTCCATCCTTGCCCCCCACCTACTGCGTGGGGCAGTCTGGGGACACCCACTGAAGAGAGCAAAAAGGCAGCCCTGTTCTTCCAGCTGCGGGCCTCCCTGTGCTCTGTAGGGAGTCAGCCTGGATTATTCCTGTAAGAATGATTTATTATTATTATTTTAATTTGGCCAGAGAGAGACATAGAGATAGAGGAAGAAAGAGGAAATGAGAAAGCAAGCTGCCAGATCCAGAACTTGAATCGTGGTCGGCCATGTGGGAATCCAGTGCCCCAACCTCCACTCCACTCACTGGCCCCTGGATTGTTCCTGTCAGGCTCAGAAATAGCAGTGGAAGGAGGCCAGAGCCCCCGCACCGGTCTCCAGCTCATGTCCCTCCAGCAGCCTGTGCTGGAGACCAGCCTCCTGTGTCTGGAGACCACAGAGCTGGAATCAGCGGCGGGTGCTAGTGCACCTTGCAACTCTGAGATTCCGAGGAGTCACTGGTCCTCCAGGCCCCGGTGTCCTAACCTAGAGAACGGAAAGCCGGGCTTACTTGGAGATGGTGACAACCCTTTACAACGCTGAGACGAGAGAGTCGGTGTGAGCGCCTGACGGTCCCGGCTCACCGTGCAGAATCACTGAAGCACACAGGCAGCCATTACCCAGACGCACTTCCCGATGCTAGGAGGAGACGCAAATTCACTGGGCCACACCCAGTGGCCGCAACAAGGTTGACTTGTACTCTGGGCCTGGACTCCAATTATCGGGGGGTATGACTCCTTGAAAGGGTATGCAGGGCCCACCTGTGGTATAGTGGTTAACGCAGCTGGATCCCACACGGCTGATTGTGTGATTCAAGTCCCAAACCTGAAACTTGAGAAACATGCTGGGCATGTGTGCACGCGTGCCCCAAATCCAAAGAGGAGAGTGGAGAAAGGATTGCACTGTGGCCCTCTCTCCAGGGAGTGCTTTTCCACTTTCCATCTCTTTCACTCTCTCTTTCTTTCTGATGAGTACATATGACCTACAGAAAAATTAATTATATAAAAGAAAAAGTGGAACCATAACTGGGTTATGTTGCAGGACTCCCATATAGTTGACCACAGTTCAAGTCCCAGACTCAGTGGCTTAAACTCATGCCAGGCACCTGTGCATGTGTGCCCAAAATCCCAAGAGGAGAATGGAGGAGAAAGGATTGCAACATGGCTATCCCCCTGGGCATTCTCACTTTCTGTTTCTGTCTTTCCAGGGGGCGCTCTCACTGTATAGCAAAAAATCTCAAAAAAAAAAAAAGTATACAAAAGAATTTTAAATTATTTATTAATACTATAAAATTATTTATTAATACTATAATATTAATTATAATATTAATACTATTTTTAAATTTTTGCTATAGGGCATATGCACCCACCGGAAAGAGAAAGAGGGGAAAAGTGAGAAAGTAAGCTGCCATGTCCAGGACTTGAACCGTGGTCAGCCATGTGAGAATCCAGCACCTTAACCACCACACCACCTGCTGGGCCCCTCAATTTTTTTTATAGAGGGCACATGTGCTCACCACATGTGAGAGAGACAGAGAAACAAGGAGAGATATGAGAAGACTCAACCCCGATGGGGAATGGCCATGCTGTAACCCCTTCTCCATCTCGTCTTCCTTTTAAGACTCTGGGCTACACATTCACATGTATCTGGTGTGTTTCTCAAACCACCAGATTTGGTCTCAAACTACACAGCCAGCCAGGTGGGACCCAGTTATAACCACGAGGCCACAGGCTGGCCCTGGTATGCAAAGTTACATGACAGTTGTTTGCTCCTGAGAGAAAGGACACAGATTTCCATGAGGCTCCAGGACCTGGAAGAGATTGAGCAGTTACTTTCGGGGCTCTTTCTGCTTGGAGGCTTCTGTGGGCACTGTATCTTCCCCGGGAAGGCAGGGAGGCTCATTCATGTTGGAGAAAGCTAACCTCCAGGCCTGCGGTGAGAGAAATGATGAAAGAAGTGACAAAATCCAAGGTTTCCCAAGGTAGGCTCTTACAACCCCATAACCTAGCTCTTCGCCCTTCCCTCTTCAAAAACAAAAATCGTTCCAAGCCGAGAACCTCGTGCGGCAGCGTCCTACACCCGTGAGGCAACAGCACCATCTCCTGGTCCAGGGTGGGCATGGCCACTGAGCTGCAAGCTCAGGAGCGCCCCCTGGGTCCCAGGCTTGGGTGCCTCATTCTCCTTTTTGTCATCTCTATTGAGGAAGGGTTGGGAGTGGGACGGTCCCCATACTCTTCCTCCTTGTGTCCAGGCCTGGGAAGGTGTCCCATGCACCAAGCTGGGGGTTTGGCCAAAGCTCTTCCCCACTATCAGAGCAAGAAGTAAAGGAGAAAACAGTGCAGAGAGGCACAGGGGATCCAGAACCAGCATCCCAGGTGCTGACACACACGGTGGCATGAGTCTGGAGGCCCTCTAGACATCTGAGTCCAGGTTTCCCAGCCTTCCCCACCTCCCCACCCTGCCCAGAACTGCATGAGGACACGAGGCTGCGCTAAAGGGGGCCTCTGCCGTCCCCACACTTCAGACCGAACTTTCCCGTCCTCTGCTGGCTGCTCACAGGCGTGAGTGGGGTAGGAGGTGGGGAGTCATCAGGAGGGGCGCACCAGTCCCAGGTCTGCCCCTAGACCACCACCCGCCACCCACCCCGTACCCAGAACTCGCCTAGGCACGCTGGCATCCCAGTTGTTTCCTTTGCCTCAGGTCTGGCGGTCCAGAGTTTGATCCTAGGGATAAGGCTCTATTTCCTCAGCCCCCACAGTAAGTGCCTACCAAAATCTGTTACCCCAGTGTTACCACCTTAGTTCAGGCCACGATCCCCATCCTTTCACCTGCTTTCTCAACTGGGGAATGGAAACAGTTACAACCCTTTGCACTATTAGAGAATCAGTGTCCATCCACGCCTACTTGCAGACATCACTGAAGCACATACTGGCAGCCAGTTCAACGGCAAAACGAGGCCCATTTCCTAATTATTTTAGAATTATTTAATTCCATTTGTTATTATTATTTTGGAGGTTTTTTTTTTTTTCTACAGGGCACTCGCTAGAAAGAGACAGAGATAGAAAGCGAGAAATCACTCCCTAGGGTGGATGGCTACACCACAATCCCTTCTCCTCCATTCTCTCGGGATCTTGGGCACGCATGCACACACACCTGGTGTGAGTTTAAGCCACCGGGTCTGGGACTAGAACTGCAGTCGACTACATGGGAGTCCAGCGACATAGCCATTACACCAACTGCTGGTCCCCCATTTATTATTAAATTTGGCCAGAAAGAGACAGAGAAAAGGAAAGTGAGAAAGCAAGCTGCCAGGTCCAGGACTCAAACCATAGTTGGCCATGTGGGAATCCAGTGCCTTCAACCATCATGG